TTTGCCATTAATTGCTATTTTCATTGCACTATGGTCAGATAATATGCATAGGATAATTTCAATTCCTTTGCATTTACTTAAAAATGTTCTGTGGGCTAGTATATAATCTATTTTAGAGAATGTTCCATGTGGCTGAGAAGAATGTGTATTATGATGTTGAGTAGAATGGTCTGAAAACATCTACTAAGTCCATTTGTTCACAGGTTTGGTTCAGTTCTGTTATTTCTTTGCTGATTTTTTATCTAGTTAATCTATCTCTTTGTGACAATGGGGTGTTGAGGTCTCCCATTACAATTGTTATTGCTTATTTTTCATGTCTATTAATAATTGTCTTATATAGTTGGGTGCTCTTGCATTTGGTGCATATATATTTATGATTGTTATCTCTTCCTCTTGAAGTTTTGCCCTAAAAAGTATGTAGTGACCTTGTCTATCCCTTTTGATCATTCTTGGTTTGAAGTTCACATTGTCTGCAGACAGAATAATTACTCGTGTATTTTTTCTGGGTTCCTGTTGCATGGAAGATTGTTTTCCATCTTTTGATTTTCAGTCTATGAATTTCTTCTTGTGTTAAATGTGTTTCTTGTATGTAGAATATTGTTGGATCTTGTTTCTTGATCCACTCTGCCAGTCTGTTTCTTTTGATTGGTGAATTGAGGCCATTTACATTGACGATTATAACTAATACGTATTGGCTTATCTTGGTCGTGGTATTTTCTGCTGTTGGTTCCCTACTTTCTTCCTGTTTAATTGCTTGCCCTGCCTGGTGGTTTCTTTCTGTGTTGTTGTTCTTGAAATTGCCATTATTTTTAATCTCTGTGTAAAATATCTTTCAGTACTCTTTGTAGTGTTGGTTTGGTATTCATAAATCTCTTCAGTTGTTCTCTGTCATGGAAGTATTTTATTTCTCATTAATTTTTTTTTTTTTTGGTCTTTTTGAGACAGGGTCTTGAGATGCAGTTCAGGCTGGCCTTGAGCTCACTTTGTTGCCCAGGCTGGTCTCAAACTCACAACGATCCTCCTGCCTCAGCCTCCCTAGTGCAGGCTTGCACCACCATGCCCGGCACTCTCCATTAATTTTGAAAGATAGTTTTGCAGGGTACATCAATCTGGGTTGGAAGTTTTCTTTCAAGACTTGAAATACTTCACTCCAAGCTCTTCTTGACTTGAGGGTTTGTGTGAAGTCTGCCAGGATTCTGATAGGCTTTCCTTTATAAGTGATCTGTTTCTTTTCTCTAACAGCTTTTAATATTCTGTTCTTGTGCTGAATTTCTGGAATCTTGATTATTATATGTCCTAGTGTAGTTTTACTTTGGTCATGATTGTTTGGAGTTCTATATGCTTCATTTATTGTATGTCAAATTCTTTACCCATGCTTGTGAAATTTTCTGTCATTATTTCTGTGAAGAGTTTTTTTTTATGTCATTTGTGCTGTCTCCAGCTTGCTCATTGACTCCCATCAATCTTATGTTATTCTTCTTTGCTTCATTTTGTAGCTGTTGGATTGATTTTTCATGGTCTCTTGCTATTTTAAGATATCTTTTTTTTCATTATTGCTGGCTGTAATTCTGTCTTCAAGATCTGAAATCCTATTCTCTCCTTCATTCAACCTGTTGTATATATTTTCTTTCTTTTCTTTT